AGTCATCCATTCATCTGTTCAATAGCATGTAGGCATCCATTAAGTATTGGGGGTTACAAAGATGAATAAGGTGTAGCCTCAATGGAAGGGAGGGAGGAAGGAAGGAAGGAAGGAAGGAAGGACGGAAAGAAGGAAGGAAGGGAGGAAGGAAAGAAGGGAGGAGGAAGAAAGGAAGGAAAGAAGGGAGGAGGGAAGGGAGGAAGGAGGGGGGAAAGAAAGAAAGGAAGGAAGAAAGGGAGGAAGGAAGGGGGAAGGAAGGAAGGAAGGAAGAAATCACAAACTGTAGAGAAACCGGAAGGGACTAGAATACAGTATGATAAATGTAATTCCAGGAAGTCATCTGGTGCAGGAGACCCCGAGGACAAGGTGGGGGTGGGGTGCTGTAGCAGGGCATCGGGGGCTTGGGAATGGAGGTCTGAGCCAGACTGGGGGCCCATGGAAATAATCAGCCATGTGACTCTTCTGTGCAATGTGGAGGCAGAGAGGATCGGGGGACACAGACATGGACCACACCACGGGGCAGAGGGCCCCATTCCTTGTGTCCCGCTCCACTCCTGCCCCCACCAGTGTTAACAATTCTGGTGACATGTGGAGGTGACCTTGAGGGAACAAGATGAAGCCATCATGAAGACACTGTCCACACTGGGCCAGCGAAGGGACAGAGCCAGGAAACTTCAGAGGGAGACAGCAGAAAGCAGTGACTGGGTGGCGGAGGGCAGGGAGGAGGTCCGAGAGGATTCTGTTTCAGATAACCAGGAAGATGTTATTCGGATTAATCTGTTATTCAGATTCTGGATAACCAGGAAGATGAGTTGGTTACAGGAGAAAGACCAGTCCCGAAGGGAAGAACTGTGCTTCGGGCATGTGACAGGATACACAGACGCAGGCGTCTAGCATGCTGTTGGTTAAGACACAGTCTATAAACACTGTAGAGGTGCAGTGTGGACATGGAGGGCAGAATGCTCCCCAGACAGATAGGCATCAAAGTGCCGGGGGTTCCTGGGATCACCCAGGAAAGAGAAGACAGTGCATAGAGGAAGAGCTGAGGCCGGAGTCCTGGGGAACACCACCATTCAGGGTGCAGGAAGAAGAAGAGAGACCCATGCAGAAGAGAGAGAAGTCTTGGCTGAAAGGAGAGCCAGGAAAGAGGCACTAAATGCAGCCACGAAGTCCAGTGGGCACAGGGAAGGCCAGGGGGCTGGAGGCCCCAAGAGGCGGAGAGAGAGCAGGGCAGAGCCAATGGAAAGAGGAGGCAGCAGTACAGACCCCACTTCTTTCAAGCCAAGTGGGAAGAGAACCCAAGAGAGTAAACAGGGGATGGGGAGGAGCGAGGGGTGGAAACCATTGCTCTGTAGACCCTCTGAATTCTCAGAAATTCGCCTGCTCGCTAACATTCCTTTGTAACCCCCAGATCAATACTCCTGGGGGTTTTGCATTCATTCCAGGAGATGCTCAGGGAGTCTCCCAACATGGGTGCTGTTGGCCATGTAAGACGACGCTCTGCCCCCTTATTGCGGCTCAGACTGTCAACAAGTGTCCTTCTCGCAGTTTATTCGGTGCCACATTTTTGGCATTTTTGTGCTTCCTGGTGGTGATTTTGCGGCCCCCACACGTGGAGCCCAAGTGCTGTCTAGCGCTGCTAAGCACGGGCTGTGACGCGCCTCGGGGAGATACGCTTGTGTCAGAGAAACGCGGTTCAGGCGCGAGTGGCAGTGCCGCTGGCCGTGAGTTCTACGTGGATCAATGGTATGGTAAATAAGGTGTCTTTAAACAGAAACACCCATACATCAAGGTCGTGCACTGACTGGTTGATGAAAGGTGACCAGAGGCTCACAGGAGCCTCACCCTGTACTTCCCACAGGAGCAATGGTTGAGTATCCACTAAATCAGTGTTGGCATCGACTCTACAGATCATAACTACGATGCTAATGAGAACCGACTGTACTTGGTGGAGTAATCGTCACATGCATGCCATGGATGAGCGTCAGGGCAGACAGAGTACAAGTAGACACAGCCCGCACATAGCCAGGTTGCCAGCTCCCAAGCACCTGCTGGTCCTTTCCATCTCCGATGGAGTCTGGTTCCCCCAGGAGGTGGGAGCCATGGGAGATCATGAGAAGTTGTCACCCACGGGTCTCACACCCGAATATGGAAATCGCTCAGCCACTCACTTAGGGGCCCGTGTTGTAGGGTCACCCCTCCCACCTGGCTGATGACACATAGGTATGTGTTAACACTTCCAGTCAACTAGTCTACCTTCGGGCCGGCTACCTACCTAGCTTCACCCCACACCTGACACATGTATCTTAAATAAATAATCCTCGGGGCTTTGCCCTTTCTTAAACATGGAGGTATTGGCATGAAGTACAGTATCACAGGCGGGAAAAGAGAGACACCCAGACATCAACAGTGAAAACCCCAATCTCAACACCCCCTCTGAGAGCAAGACTCTCCGATGCCTCCGCTTCCTCATCTACAAAACACAGACAATAATGGCAAAGCTTCATAGGAGTTGTTGCAAGATTTATAAAAGGCAATGCACATAAAGGGTCCAAACACAGACGCAGGCACCCTTGGGAGTTGAGTACTTGTTGGGCAAACTGATATAATCCTGAGACTAATTCTTTCCACCATGCAGCTATCCCCAACAGGCCTCACTGGCAATGGCCTCCTCTGCTGCTCTTGGACATAGAACTCCAGGGGTCCGCACAAATCGACGCGGCAACGTAAAGGAAAAGGCCTCGCTCACACTGCTGCGGTCTGGTGTGGTTTGTGACCATCTGGCCACTGCATAATTAAGGAGTGTGGACTATTTAGCTCTAAGGATCAAGCAAGGGTTAGACACTCAGAAAGATCCCTTCCAGTGTGAGGGTTGGAGCCTCATTTTCATGGCCCCTATACTAGAGGGGCAAATAAGACAAAAATTCCAAAGCTCTTGTCTAAATATCACCTTTCACGATCTACTCCTGTGTACGCAATGATTTTCTAGCAACCTGAAAGAATCCTAGAACAGTGTTTATTGAATTACAAAAACACTTCCTCAGCCCCTGCTTTGTTCCAGGAGCTGAACCAGGGTCTGAGGGCTCCAAGCTACTGGAACCGAAGCCTCCGCCTTCAAGGAGCTCCCCACTGGAAGAACGTCACTCACAGCTTGCAAACAGTTGTCCTGATTTGGGTCACGCGTGTGTGTTTTCCTTCCTTCCAACCTGATTGAACCTTTATTATGGTCTAGACATCGTCCTTAACTTTATGGTAGGAACTAAAATAATTAATAAGAATGACAAGGCCATGCATCCCCAAGGAGTTCCCGGTCCAACAGGCACAAAAACAAATACAAAACTAATAATAATGATTTCCTTTGAAGGAAGTGAGCCGAGAAGTTAAGAGAGTGGAACATTGTCTCACAGCTCGTGGTGACAGAGCAGGCTGGGAGCCAGGTCTGCTGGTTCCAGACCCTGTGCTGGCCTTCCCGGGCTCATTTTGTGATTCCTGGAAATTCAGAGCGCAGTGGGGAAATCTAAAGGTCATGGGAGGGCAGGGACATAACTGGGACTTAACTCAAAGTCAGTGTCCAGGTGAGGACGGCCGCATTGAACCTTTCGTCTGCACGGCCTTTAATTTTTTTTTTTTTAACGTTTATTTATTTTTGAGAGACAGACAGACAGACAGAGCGTGAGCAGGGGAGGGGCAGAGAGAGAGGGAGCCACAGAACCCGAAGCAGGCTCCAGGCTCCGAGCTGTCGGCACAGAGTCCAACACGGGGCTCGAACTCACAAACTGTGAGATCATGACCTGAGCTGAAGTCGGGCGCTTAACCGACTGAGCCACCCAGCCGCCCCTCCACTGCCTTTAAAGAGACATTTGTTAAGCAATCAATTTTGTTATGGAAATCAAATCAAGAATTTGTATTGCAATACGTGTGTGCGTATATGCCCAATATAATCCTATTATTAATAGATGAAATACAGCCAGTTCATTGAGCATTGTATTTTTCCCCAAGGATGCTCTATAAAGCAAAAGGAAATGATTTAAATTTATAAAAAAAAAAAAAAGGAATATGATGAGTCCATTTCTTCGTAATGAGTAGTTTCCTGATCTCCATACGAAGCTGGTGTTTATTTTTAGGAGGCACGCGGATTAAAAAGAAAACCTACTGTTTGCATCTTTCATCCAATACGGCCTCACTGGTAAATTTTCCTTCTATTTTAGTAAAATGCCAGTTGACTTCCTTCAAACTCCGGCGGTTAAAAATTAATTATACGAGGCTTAAGTGATTTTTTAAAAAATAACTATTTCAGGGACCGAACGTGGAAGATTCCATCACCCACTCAAAACTACTTGCTGAACGCTTGCCGCGTGCCAGGCTCCGTGCTGGGCAGTCGGATGTTAGCAAGTGAAGTCCCTGCGCCCTGCGCCCGGGGGTCCCGTGCAACGTGATGCGGCAGAGAGGGGACGGACGAGTGCGGAGGCCCCGTGATGAGGACCGTCCTAAAGGGATCAGAGGAGACCGCCCATGGGAAGACTGGACGCCCAGCTGAGGCCTGACCAGTGAGGGGAGAGCAGCGAGGGGGCTATTCCCTGCAGGGGTCACAGCAGGGCGAGCCGGGCGGATGTCAGTACTGCTGGAGCTTCGGGGTGAGGCCTACTTGGAGAAGTGGGCAGGGGCCAGGTCACCAAGGCCTTTGTGGGCCACGCTGAGGAGTTTGGACTTTATCCTGAAGGGTTGCAGTGCTGTGTAAACTGAAGCCTGTGAGAGCTCAAGCTTTGTTATTAACTTGTGTTTCTGTGCAAAAGTGGATGTGCAGGGAATCGATGTCTGTAATCGCATCTGAGGATTCCTTCTAGGTGTCCACTTCCTGATATCCCCTTACTACTTGGGAGCCTTTAACAAGACTTAGCTACAAATGCCCTAGCAACTGGGAATCTATATACTCGTGAGAGTCGGTGACACTCAGGGCTGGTTTGGTGAAGCAGGGCTCAGTGTGCAGCTCCCCACAGCACTGGGGGCCAATGGGCTTTTCTTCCTTTTGGCTTAGTGCCTGTCTTTTGCACACCTCTGCTTTATCCCGTAAGTGAAGCGAGAATTAGGGTGGTTACGTGGAAAGGATCAGAGACCCCCCTGTGTTTCAAGAGAAGCCTGAGGACAGCGTGCAAGGTGGACAGCATAAGATCAGGACCGGAGGCAGGAAAGCATGCCCCGGTCGGTGGTGATGGCGAGCAAGTGATCGGCCAATACCAGAGAAAACGTGCGGCCCAACTCAGTAAGACTGGACCCCTGTGGATGTTGGGAGAAGAGAAAGGGTAAAGAGTCAATGGTGCTCTAAAATTTTGAGCTTGAGAAAATTAGGTGGATGGCGATGCCCTCAATTAAGGCAGGGAGCTGACGAGGAGGCTGGGTGGGACCCGAGAGGTCACAGGTAACCATAGCAACTGCATCCAGTGGGCCTGCATCTCGGGATAGAGCGTGGTAAGAGACGTGTGCTTGGAAGTAACTGCAGATCATTGATGAGGGCGGGCAAGTGGAAGAGACCGCGGAGCAATCTGCAGAAGGAAGAGACAGCGGGCTAAGAAGGTAATACAAATCGTCACCGGTTTTTAAATTACCGATCGAGGAGAGGCAGGCAGATCTGATTTCACGGATCCGAGGGCTGAAGATCCAGGGTGTGAGGGGCAGAAGGCGAATGAGAGGTGAGAAGACTAGGGCAGCGGCCGAAGGCCACAGTGGAGTCGAGAAGCTCGGCGGACGGGGGTGGGGGGGCAGTCGCTGCAAGGGGGATGCGTCAAAGGAGCGGCTGTTCTGTCTGTCTGTTCGCTCTTCAACACGTGATGACACCAGTGGTGACAAATACAAGAGCCCCAGGAGAAAGCTCGAGGTGCACGGGATGGAAGAGGCGACGGAGGGGCAGAGCCTGGGAGGAGACGAGGGGGTGGGAAGGCGAGCACAGGAGCCGAGCGGCCGAGCAGGACATCTGGGGGCCGCGGCGTCCGTCCAGGCGCTCACTCCAAGCGGCTTCCTTTTCTAAATACGCATGTTTTTAGCCGTGTCCCCTTACCTCGAGGCTGTTACTCAAAGCCAGCGTTTGTCCTTGTTCTGTGCCCCTTGTACGGGTACCCTCGATTCCCGGGAGGAAAGATCCTTCTCAGGCTCTCTGCAGACGGAAGGACGGATAGGCTCTGTCATTCACACCGACATCTGAGATGACATGGGCCCCGTGACAATAAGTAGTCGGAAGGGTCGTGACCGGCACAAGCAAACCCACACTGCCGAGGGATGCCGAGACAGGACAGCTCCATCTGCCCTCCCCGGCTGTCCCTCCCCCTCCCCTGCGAGACATCACAGCTGAACCCGTGTGTGTTTCTCTCCACGTGTGACCTGTCCCGGCCACTACTGTAAGCCTCAAAGGCAGGCACTGTCACATTTGTCTTTCAGGCCTCCGTGAGATCTGCCCAGTGCTTGTCACACACATTTGGTGAAATAAATTAAATTGTCGTCTTCAAAGAAATCTCGGAGACGGATGTTCAACCGCATCCGTGATGTTCCCAGGGCCCAACACGTTTTTAAAATGCAACTCTGGAATTATCTTCTGAGCCATATAAGAAGGCTCAGTCACGTTAATTTAGACGTAAAATAGTTTTGGTCCCAAATGGCATTTTCCCACTGTAGTAGCCAGCCTCCTCCAAGATGGCCTCCTGGAATTCACACTTGGGTATTCCCCTCCTACACTGGACCAGAGTTGGTCAGTGTGACTAAGAAAATACAAAGAAGTAAGTGATATACAACTTCCAAAATTAGGTAACAAAAGACCGTGTCTTCTGTCTCAGGTGCTCTGCAGCTTACTCATTCTCTTCCTGTCTCTCTCTCTGTCTCTCTGTCTCTCTCTCATCATTGTCTCTGGGGGAAGCCAGCTGTCATGTTTTGAGGACATTCAGACAGCCTGATGGAAAAGCCCACAGTGGGAGAAACTAAAGCCCTCAGTCCAAGAGCCCATGAAGCGTCAAGGCTTTTTACAACCACGTCAGTGACCTTGGAAGCGGATCCTTCAGACCCAGTCAAGCCTTCAAATGAGATCACAGCCCCAGACAATACCTTATCTGCAGCCTTGTTACAGACTGTGTCAGAACCAGCCGGCTAAGCTGCCTCTGGGTTCCTGACCCTCAGAAATTGTGATATAACAAACATTTGTGGCTTTAAGCTGCTAAATTTGCGGGTAATTTGACACACAGCAATCTATAACTAATGTACCCAAGTTGGTTATTACTCTGATTAATCACATGTATTTTGGCCATTTCCAAAACCAAATCCAAGGACACCCATTTTCTACCACTACACCAGCTTGAAAGGATGGGCCATAGATTCTGAAGGCAATTCCAAAAAAGAAGTGTTCAAAAAAACGTCCTCAGCAATGGTCGCACTGTGCAAATAATTGTATGTTCTCCCAGACAACGCAGAGGGTGTCTAAAACTTTTTGTTTGAAATCAAGCCTCGGATTGTAAGCCCCGGCACTTCAGATAAATTTCAGTATGCCTAGTGAGGATCAAACACCGGCCTCAATACAATATTATTATCTGTCTTATTCCTTTTAATGAAGAAATCCAAAATAAAGTGAATTTCACAGCTCGTCCAGAAAATAGCACTGGCAAAAACAGAAGCTTTAGAGTCTGACAGATCTGTATCAAGTCCTACATTGGCAATGTAGCCTTGGACAAACTCCAGAAACTCACTAAGCCTCCGTTTGCCCATCTACAAAATGGGAAGGAACACAGTGCGGCCTCCCAGGATGGTTGTGAAAGACAAAGCCGTGTCAACCGATTAGCACTTTTGCATATGCATTTTGCATTTTGCATCTGCGATTAACACCACGAATTATCATTTATCTCATCTATAAAAGCAGGTAAAACAACACCTGCTTCCCAGAGCTATTAAGAAGACTAAACGAGGAAAATGATCCGTAGAAAGAGAGGAACTGTGGTCTTGTTAACTCCATCCGCGGGCCCCAAAACACCTTTGAAAGCGGATGGCAAAGAGGTGGTTCGAGAGAGTTCACGCTTTTTCAGAAAATGCCCCAAAGTGGGGCAGGAGGGAAGGTCGACGCTGACGTCCTGAGCCAGCTGTGACATTTCGATTCCTGCTAACATTTAAGTAAGTTTCCATGCCTCACGTTTTACCTTTTCAGTGATTCGCAAAGCAAGCTTGTGCAGTGCTGCTCTTTTCGTTTGCGCTTGAAATATTTTGTATTTCGGGGGTTAATCTACTGTGAAATGGTGCCAGCAGAGTCGAGCTCGATCCAAAAAGAATCTGCTGGTGCTGCGTGGAAAAAAGTAGGACCACTTACCGAGCGACCGTTCACTGCGTTCGCTTCTGGACTTGTCAGGACTGAGACCTGTAATACAGGAATGGTCGTCAGGCAAGGCCCCTTTCTCCATTTCCAGAATGTTCTGTGCTTTCATTATTGATGCCCCAAATATGCCTCCTTTTAAGCAAGACACAGTGGAGGATCAGCAAACAGTTTTGTAGCTATCAGCACCGGGAAAAAGGCTCAGGGAGATAAAAATGGCCCCTAACCCTTTGAACCCTAACCAAGGAAAGAAAGGAGGGCCCTCCCTCCCCCAACCGAGACTCTTAAAGGGATGGTTGGTTCTCATCACGTGGCTTCAGGATGACAGAATTCGCTCTCGATCAATTAGATGAGCTTTAGTCCAGACCCTCCAGCCACACATTGTGGCACACCTGGGTCCTGTAACTCGGCCTGCGCACCCAGGAGGAAATAAGCCTGTTCAAGTTGGGGGAGCCTCTCGAGGTGTAAACTCACATCTGCTCTGTTTGTTTGACACCTCAGATGGAATCATATATGGAAAATCTCTGTATAAATATAAAGAGATACCTAAATGAAAAGTTGTATCATTGTCGTCTACTGGTAAGAAAGGAACAAACAAACAAAAAAAAATGCTCATCTTCTGGAAACACTATAATTGTTCAAAGGCATGTATAGTGTTTCCAGTGTTAAATGACTCACTAACAGGGGTGCCTGGGTGGCGCAGTCGGTTAAGCGTCCGACTTCAGCCAGGTCACGATCTCGCGGTCCGGGAGTTCGAGCCCCGCGTCAGGCTCTGGGCTGATGGCTCGGAGCCTGGAGCCTGTTTCTGATTCTGTGTCTCCCTCTCTCTCTGCCCCTCCCCCGTTCATGCTCTGTCTCTCTCTGTCCCAAAAATAAATAAAAACGTTGAAAAAAAAAATGACTCACTAACAGAGAACTACAATATAAAGTTGTTTCAAGAAAAAACACATTAAAAAGAACAGATCTCAACTTACCAGGTAGGTACATATTTCTCCATGTAGAGGATCCCAATATGTCCCCAAAACCCATCTAAGTCAATTTCGGCATCAGGATAGATCAGCACGTGAAAGAGGGGAAAAAAAGACATTGTAAAAAATGCAAATATTATCAGGAAGATTCTTAGGTATTACGTAATTCATTTTTAATGAAATAAGGCAATATATTGTATTAAATAACTTTATGTGGTGTCAAACATGTGTGTCTAGGAAAGCACATGGGGAAGAACAAATCACACGATGTTTAAATCGCCTGAAAAGCTTTCCACTGGACTCAGAACGTGCTCCCAAATGTGGGGGACCAGAAATATGGCACCTTTCCTATGAACTTGCAAACAGACTGCATTTAGATCAGATGTGGGGGTTTTCTGGGTATGAAGTTCCCCTAATGTGTTCAGTTAGGGAAAGGCTTGCACAAATAGATTCCATGAAGCCACTGAATAACATACGTCCACACAAAGACTTGCGCACGAATACTCGTAGCATCATCGTTCATTACAGCGGAAATAACCCAAGTGTTGATCGAGTATCGAATGGGTAATCAAAGGTAGTATACCCGTACAATAGAATCTTAATACTAGAAAGGAACCAAGTACCAATACATCCTACAGCAGGTAGGAACCTCCAGAACACGATGCTTAGTGAGATAAGCCAGTTACAAAAGGACACGTGTTGTATAATTCCATTTGTATGAAATGGCCAGAATAGGCAAATCTGCAGACCCAGAAGGCAGATGAGGGGTTGTTGGGGGCTGGGGGAACGGGGAGCACAGAAACGGCTGCTAACGGGGATGAGATTTCTTTTTGAGTTGATGCGAATGTTCTGGATTTAGATAGTGGAGGCTATATTCAGTCTATATTCATATACTGAAAGCCACCCAATTGGACACATTAAAAGGGTGAGTTGTATGCTATGTGGATTATAACTCAGTAAAGGTGTTATTAAAAGAAAAGGAAGGGGGCTCCAGGGTGGCTCAGTCAGTTAAGCATCCGACTTCGGCTCAGGTCATGATCTCACGGTCCGGGAGTTCGAGCCCCGCGTCGGGCTCTGTGCGGACAGCTCGGAGCCTGGAGCCTGCTTTGGATTCTGTGTCTCCCTCTCTCTCTGACCCTCCCCCGTTCATGCTCTGTCTCTCTCTGTCTCAAAAATAAACATTAAAAAAAAAAAAAGAAAAGGGAGGGGACCTGGGTGGCTCAGTCAGTTAAGCGTCCGACTTTTGATTTCAGCTCACGTCATTGTCTCTGGTTCACGGAATTAAGTACCAAGTGCTATGAGCACAGAGCCTGTTTGGGATTCTCTCTCTCCACCCCCCCTCTCTCTCTGCTCCTTCCCGACTTGTGCACGCTCTCTCTCTGTCTCTCTCTCAAAATAAATAAATAAACTTGAAAAAAGGCCTGGGGCACACATGACCTAAGCCAGGCCAAAGGGAGTCATGCCAAGAGGCATGTCCAGTGGAGCTAGAGAGAAATGCTCCGTCTTCCTCCTAAGTTAGAGCATCTGAATCTGGAGCAGCTTGTGGCCTTGCTGAAAGGGAAAAGCTCATCTACAGTAGGAGAGGGAAGCAGGGAAGGGAAAGGAAGGGGATGGGGCTTGGGGGAGAGCAGGGAGGGAAGGGAGGGAGAAGTTGGCCCAGGTGGCATCGAAGACTCCCAAATGAACGGGTCCATGAGGTCAACTCCTCCCCTTCCTTTCTGGGAATGTGATCCAGGGACTTACCCACTTTGGCTTCGGCGACTTGTAGTTCAAGTTCTATCATTTGCGACGGAACACAGTCGCCTCTCATCCCCTGAGCTCAGAATTCCATTCTGGTTATTCTTCCTCAGTTTCTCCCTTTGGACTGTTTCTGGGTCTCCTGGCTGAAGCCTTAGGCAAATCTCATCCCACCTACTCCGCATCAGGATTTGCCTGAAGTCAAGTTCCCCCATCAACCTACAGGCATGAGTGCCGCGCTCTGGACGGTGACTAAACCATTAAGTGGTTGACTGTGCACTCGTGTGCACATAGAACCCTCCGTCCTCTCTAGATTTCTCTTTCCAAATCAACCAGAAATCATAAAAACTACCTATAATTCAAATATACATTTGACTAAGGACAGCAGAATGTTAGCAAATTGAGACATTTATTCCCTCATATGTCCTTACAGCTTTTATACTTCTTTTTTTTTTTTTTTTAAATTTTTTTTTTTTCAACGTTTATTTATTTTTGGGACAGAGAGAACCAGAGCATGAGCGGGAGGCAGAGAGAGGGAGACACAGAATCGGGAAACAGGCTCCAGGCTCTGAGCCATCAGCCCAGAGCCCGACGCGGGGCTCGAACTCATGGACCGTGAGATCGTGACCTGGCTGAAGTCGGAGGCTTAACCGACTGCGCCACCCAGGCGCCCCAGCTTTTATACTTCTTAAAATCACGTAAGGGAAAACTCCAAACCTTCTACTATTGACACTTTCTCTCATCATATCCTTGTGAGATATCTTCCCTTTGATCTAAGTCCTTAGTCTTCATATTTTGGATTTTTCAGTCTTATTCTCCATGGCTTAACCCTTTCTTCACATTATATTCCTTTCCCCGGAAATTTTTCTATAACCTACATATGTTTTTCAAACGATCTTCATTTTCATCACTCCGGGATTTTTTTTTTTTTTTTTGGTTTTATTTCTTCTATTTTCTACTTCCAACAATGATTTCTTTGTTTGATGCCTAAATGCATCCTAGTCTCGTCTCTTTTATGTTTCTTTTTCTTTCCTTAATATGAAATTTATTGTCCAATTGGTTTCCATATCTTTTGTTTCTAATATCACTGCCTATTTCACTGAAAATGGTTAGCAGCTGTTTTCTCTTTTTTTTTTTCTGTTTCATATATGAAATCTACTTCAGAGTTTCCAGGAATTACTTGAAATCTCCATCTGCTTTCTTTCTTCCTTCGAATTACAGAATTCTTGAATTTAAGGAGTTCTTTTTTTTTTAATTTGCCCCTAATTCTTTATGATTTCCTAATCTTTGGAGAACATCCACCTGAGGGTTTATTTCAAAATCTTGCTTCTTTCAGGGGCTCGCCTAACTTAATGTCAGAGTCTTCTTATAAAACTCAGATTGGAAGACAAGCCGACAGTCCACTATGCTACGAAAAAGTTGCAACAGATCTGTGGGTCGTGCGATCAGAATTGACTTACCAAACCAGTGATGGAAGAGGGATTAAATGGAGGGGGGCAGTTACTGAATTCTTTTCAACACGTTAAAGGCCACAGAATGAACTAGAATCCATTTCTCAACACTCACCAGTAACTCCCGGCTCCCGTTAGCATTTCCTGGCACCTGTCCTGTCAGCCCCCTGGTGCCCCCACCTGCTCTCAGCCATCAATAGGCCCGTCGTCATTAGGATGAGGCCAGGGACCCTAGACATGACCCTGGAGGTCCATCCTGCCCTTGTCTCCAGATCAACCGTGTGCCTCTGTGCCCGTATTTTGCTCATCGCGGTCATAATGGTTTGTGTCCCTTCCAACCCACCAGCTTCTCTTGCACTTCACAGAACTCCCTGATGGTCCCCTTGTGCTTGGAATCACTTTTCCTCCTCCCCTCAACACCTGTCCCCTTTGAACTGATGGACATTCTTGATGTGAACGTCAGTTCCCCAGGGAAGCTCTCCCTGCGCCCAGACGATCTTCCGTCCTCTCAACATGTACCCCCAAACGCTTGCCTGGTAGTCAGGATCAACCCTGCTGCCCGGAGCCCCCCTTCCTCATCTACAAACTCCACACGGGTCGGGACTTGCTTGTCTCGCTTCTCACTCTCTCCCCAGCTGTTCCCATATAAGCCACAAAATCCACATGCACAAAATGCTTGTGAAACGCTGTGCTTGGTCCTTGTCGTTTCTGGATTAGCCGGGCCACGGATGTGTGAGTGTGTCAGCTCAAAAACACATCAGACTTTATGTAAGCTTCAGTGGAGTCTGGAAAAGGAAGTCCTTCGTACTTGTCCTAACACCCGGGAAATAGATCTTGGAACCAAATCAATTTCAGCGCAGTTGCGGGGGTGAGGGGCCAGCCTGCCATTCACCAAGCATCTCTCATGGACTAGACGCTGGGCCAGATCTTACTTGTCCACCAATTTACTCAATTCTCTCAGCACTGTCAGATGGCCTTTACTGCCGGCATCTCGCTGGTAAAGAGGTGCCCGATCATGGAGTTAAGTACCCTGGCCTGGACCGCAGAGCTGCTAAATGGTTTTGAACTCTAGTCCAACAAAAATGCCCCTCCCCTTTCCCTCCACTAAACCACAGCGTCAGTGGCCTGCACACTCAGTTCTAAAACTCTAACGATTTGCCAGTTGTTGCTTTAAGCTCTCTGTTTCCAACTCTCTGGGAAACAAAGAGAGAGAAGGAGAGAGAGAGGCTGGAGAAGGAGGGGAGACTCCAGCCAAGTGAGCAAAGCTGTGTTTGCCCCTGCCTGGGGATACTCCAGTGACTCAATCACACGTGTCTGCTTGTCACAGACCCACACAGAGCCTACAGGGCGCTGTCCCGGGGGACCCCAAGGCCCTGGTCCTACCTCTTCGCTGCTGTTAGACTCAGAACTGGACGACCAGTGGCAGCGAACCCACACGTCCCGCACCTGCTCGGCAGACATCCGCACCGTGCTTCTGCAAACAACTGCCGGCTGGAAAAGAAAACAGTGAGCTCCGTGGCCAGCGGCTCCTAGAAAGGGTTAGGACCCATCTCAGAGATCAGGTGATAGCGTAACGCCTGACAGAATGATGCAGACGGAAAGGGGAAATTCACAGAGGCACCTCATGTTCCCAAAACGAAAATCTCCCAGCAGCGAAGCAGACACAACTGAAATACCTAAAGATGTGTTGTCAGGCATGTGGGTATCACGTGTTCCCCTCCCCATGAGCCCTGAGTGAGCTGCCCCGAAGTTTCCCAATGGAACAAAAGGAAGCAGGAAGAACCCAAGGACTGTGTTCTCCTCTCCTTTGGCCTCAAGAGTCTGTTAGGAGCGGACGCTGTGACACTTGGGTTTGAGTCCTTCGCCCAACAGTCACAGAGAAAAGTCTCGTGAAACCGGTCGCGAAACAAAGGATTCCCTTTTCAGAATTTACATCATTGCCAAGCGACAATGATGTCATACTTTACTGTCATAAAGTAACAAACTCATAAAGTAACAAACTCATAAAGTAACAAACTCATAAAGTAACGAACTCATAAAGTAACGAACTCATAAGCTCACAAAACCCTGAAAACTCATACGTCTTTTGGCAAACACCTTGGACAGCAAGAGTTGGCCCGGTGGTGGTGGTCTGCTCGCCCCAGACACCTGCCCATGGGTGGGAACAAGTGTTGGGCCACGTTCTGGCCACCGGGCATGCAAAATGGAACACACTGTGGTTCAGTAGAACCAGAGCCAGGTGACATACTGCACAACAGCCAACTGCAAAATAGTGTGACTCACACCAAGGACACAGTTTTTAGATCAGTTTATAATGGAACTCGAAACACCTCTGGAATTTGCCTTTGGGATTGGCCTCTTTGTGTTCAGTTTGCCTGGAACCATCATTACACCCGGTTCAAAGAGCAGGAAACTGAGGCAGCGGGGGTTAAACAATTTGCCAGGATCACTCAACACCATGGAGTCCAGAGCTCAAGCCCTCAGCCACTGAGCCGCACTGCGCCCCTGCACAGGGAGCACAGCACGGACACAATCAGTGCCTCCCAGTGTGGCCGGATGCCAGAGCGTCCGTGTGGCGGGGCACAGCTCCAGGTCACAGAAGAAGCGAGGCGCTTCCGCAGGTTAATTTCTGGGACACGGCGTTTCCCGCCACACTTACCATGTAGTAGCCCCTTTGGAAGTCACAGGTAGAAGGGTCTTCTCCAGATTCTCTCCTGCATGTTGTCTCCCGAATGCCAAACTCTAGGTCCATGCTCAAGCTATCCTGGTCCAGGACATAGACCTTCACAAAAACAAAGCATCAGTTTGCCATGGGTGAGCTACTGGGGTTTGCAATGCTCCAAATGTTTCTCCCTGCACAGTAAGAAAAAGTTACAGAGTCCTCCATGGTGAGAGCTTTCTGGACTCACGATCTCCCAGTTCCCGGCCCTCAGTCTGAGACAAGAAGAAACGTTTTTTCCAAAGGCACATAATACTTCATTTAAAAAAACGGAGCCAGAACTTAGGCGTTCTTGGCGGGAACTCCAAGGTCAACGTTGCTTACGACGACTTACCTTTATAACTGATCCTCATGGCAGATTCCGTTTTTGCCAATTTGCCTACTTGCTCAAATTTATTTATAACCCCAGAACCAAGGTTCAGGGTCCCTTGGCAGTCATCCTCACGCGTGCGCTGAGGATTTGAGCTGTCCTGCGCCCACGTTCCCAGCGGAGACAAGGCAGCGCTCTGCCTTCTTGTTTCCACTGTCGTGCTGTAGACAAGCGCCCCTTTCCTGCTCTTTTTTGGAGCATGTTTTTCTCATTTTTGTGTTTTTTTTTCCCTTGGTGATTTTGCTGTTTAAAATGGCCCCCCAGATGTAGCCTTACAGTGCTGTCCAGGGCTCTCAAACACAGAAAGCCTGGATGTGCCGTATGGAGAAAACACGCGTGTCCGACAAGGAGCAGTGGTTCAGTAGGTACTAATTTAGTGTGCGTGGTGATTGCGTAGAACGCAACCCCTGCAAATACCGAGAATCAACTGGGTGTATTTTTAAGGGACATTTTCCTAAAAGAATGCGCCATGACTTCTTAATAAGCCCCGAAATAAGAAATTAAGGGGTAACTTCAACTCTGCTGCACAGTATTGTCTAGTCCTGCTTCCTGTTTGATCACTTCTGACCCATAAATGAGGTTGCACAATTGTCAACTCCTTTCCACCAAGGGTGAGATAGTGGGATGAATCTGCAATGTTCTGATGACCCAGAAGTCCCGTGACTTAATGACCACGCACTGTGTGCCCAGCGCCAAAGGCAGAGCAGGGAAGGTTCCACACAGCTTGGATTCCAGTTGGAGTGCCACACAGTAAACACTTTAAAGGAAACTAAGCAAGGTCGTTCTAGACGGTTACGGTGTTATGAGGGAAAAAACAACATGGTGGTGGGGATGGAGAGGAGGAAATACTGGAGACAACGTGCCAGAGAAATCCTCCCAAGGAAGAAATATTTCCCACTGAGGCTCATAGAATGGGAAAGAGCCCGTCGTGTGGGGAAAAAGCAGGGCCAATGTCCTGGGGCAGAACAGAGGTTGTGGCCGAAGCAAAATGAACAAGAGAAGAACTCTACACGATGATGTGTGCGAGATGGGGTGTGTCCAGTAATTGATGGTCCTGTCGCCCATGGGACGGTGTGTAGATTTCATTCTCATTGCAATGGAAAGTTCGCAGAAGGATTTAAGAGCTAAGATGTGAGTCACCACGACCGCTACAAAGAAAACACAAGGTGGGGGGGTGGGAACAAGATGGCAGCGGGGAGGCCGGACGGGAGCTGCCACAGCCCAGTACCCGACCACACACCCAGGCTCCAAAACTCAAGTCCCTTTCAGTCCTTGAGCAATCTTATGGCAAATCAGAGTCAACAACACGTTCAACCGACTTCCCAGTAAGGAGACGGTGGGGAGATGTCTCTCTGAGAGCACAGACCATTCACACGTAGGAAAGAACAGGAACACGTAGAACATTTTGTTTGGAAATAAGCAGCAAACCCCAAGCCCGGGATGGGGCGCCTTCGTGCCTCCTTTTTTTTTTCTTTTTAATTTTTTAAAAATGTTTATTTGGGGCGCCTGGGTGGCGCAGTCGGTTAAGCGTCCGACTTCAGCCAGGTCACGATCTCGCGGTCCGTGAGTTCGAGCCCCGCGTCGGGCTCTGGGCCGATGGCTCAGAGCCTGGAGCCTGTTTCCACTTCTGTGTCTCCCTCTCTCTCTGCCCCTCCCCCGTTCATGCTCTGTCTCTCTCTGTCCCAAAAATAAATAAACGTTGAAAAAAAAATTAAAAATGTTTATTTATTTTTAAGAGAGAGAGAAAGAAAAGAGCGAGGTGGGGAGGGGCAGAGAGAGAGGGAGACACAGAAGCCGAAGCAGGCTCCAGGCTCCGAGCTGTATGCACAGAGCCCGATGCGGGGCTCGAACTCACGGACCGCGAGATCGTGACCTGAGCCGACGTCAGATGCTTAACCCACTGAGCCACCCAGGCGTCCTTTCATGTCCCTTTTAACACTGGGTGAGGCATGCTCATAGAAGTAGAGTTTTCTGGAAAGAAGTAAGACTAAAAATTCAGCCTCCACAATATTTACTACTTCATTTACTCGTAATTTTAAAATAATGGCTAATAAATCGGAGTCTCGTAAACAGAGCTCTCTTCTTCTGGACACCATTGGTGGGACCCTCTCACCGATCACACTTCAGCAGTTTCCCTGAAAGCGACCCAGCGAAAGCCAGCTGGAGACACAAAGGCTGGGTTGAAAAGACAAAAATGTGGGAATTTTGGAGTACAGATGATTTTATTGAACTCTGAGATAAGTTTGCAACCATTTTTTTTTTTTTTGCATCTTTAAGCACCTTTAAGCACTCTGTTCAGAATAAGGAGGAAAGCCTAATGGTTTTGCCTTTCATGTAAACTCAGTTTCAACCATCGAATTTCCTCTCTGTGTTGTTTGAAAAAGGTGGGACGACCTAAATGCCCCACGGTAAGGAATCAACTAGAGGAAATCCAAAATCCAGCATCTTTGCTGAAATAAATTGTAGTACTTCACGACTGACGTTACACTATGCTACTGTGTGTCGTAAAAAAACAAACAAAACATATTTTATTCCAATATATGAAAAAGATCCAAAAAGGCATTCACATGTTCATAGTGGTGGTCTCAGAGGAATGGGCAATAGATAGTAATTTTGGTGTTTTCTTTCTTGTTGTATTTTCTGACTTTGTATAATGAGAATATTTTGGGTTTTTTTATTCCAAACAGAAAATGTTTTATTCCAAACAGAAACAAAAATATATAAACCCATAACAATTCTTTTTGGTGATTATAATGGTTTATTTATGTGTCAACTTGACTGGGCCACAATACCCAGAGTTTTGGTCAAATGGATATTTGGATATTTCCATGAAGGTGTGTTTTGAATGCAATTCACATGTAAATTGGTGAATTTGTGGGGGGCGCCTGGGTGGTTCAGTTGGTTAAGCATCCGACTTCGGCTCAGGTCATGATCTCACAGTTTGTGGGTTCAAGCCCCGCGTCGGGCTCTGTGCGGACAGCCCGGAGCCCGGAGCCTGTGTCGGATTCTGTGTCTCCCTCTCTCTCTGCCCCTCCCCTTCTCGTTCTGTCTCTCTCTCTCTCTTTCTCAAATGTAAATAAACATTTAAAAAGTAAAAAAAAAAAAGTAAATTGGTGAATTTGAGTAAAGCAGATCACCCTCCTTAATGTGGGTGGGCCTCACCCAATCAGTTGAAGGCCTGGATGGAACAAAATTGCCTTTTTCTTGAGCAGGAAGGAAATCTGCCAGCATCCTGCCTTCCGACGTGAACTACAACGTCCACCTGCCAGCCCACCCCCCCACCGCCTGCAGAGTTCGGATCTCTCACACCTCCATCCACATAGTGTAAGTCAATTCTTTAAAGTAAATCTCACTCACTCTCCCTCTCTCTCTCTCCTCCCACATTTCTTTCTCTCTCTCTCTCTCTCTCTACACACACACACACACACTATTGATTCTGCTCTGGAGAAGCCTAACACGGTGATCATTTAGGTTTTTCCAACTAATCCTTACAATTGGACAAAAAGTAAAGATCAGGTACAACTAAGAATAATTTAGAAAGCAAAACAGTGACCAAAAAAAAGAAAGAAAAGAAAAGAAGATGAATGGTAAAAACGGACAGAGAGGGGCACCGACATCAAAGGATCCCAAACTTTCTGTGGCTTTGCCTACGGCTGTCCCAGAACCCAGCCACCCCCATCCTCCCCGCACCCACCCCAGGCTCAGCTGTCCTCCAGCACCACCTGCTGCCTAGGGTCGCTGGTCCAGCCTCCTCCCTGGCACCCCACTCCACCTGGTGGCTGGAGAGACCTTCCCAAGGGCAAAGAGCTGCCTGAGCGTGTGTGCATGTCCCATTGTCCTTAAAACAGGCTTCAGGCTTCTCAAAGTCATGCTCCGGGAACGTCCCCAATCCGGCCCACCTCTCCGACCTCTCTCTCAAGGCCTTTGGTCCTCCAGGTTCCCCCACGGTCTCCCCACGGATGGAGGTTCTTGTCACTGACTGAGGCTTCGCTCACATATGACGGCGGAGGCTTCCACCCCATCTGTCGCTGCCCCAGCGCCAGCCCTAGCCCGCCCACCCCTCCCTCTGCCTGGTCTGTTTCCGCCCCACCCCCCTCTGCAGTGCTCCCCACCCTCCGAAATGACCTTCATTTGTTTATGTCGTTGTCCAACCCAACCTCCTTCTTTCCTACCCTCTGCTCCGTCCCCAATGAGACCTGAGTTCCGTTCTTTTCCCCAGCACAAGGCCCGTGTCCACTGTCCTACCCGGCCCGTGTCCCTGACAGAAGCATCTGAGCAGGTCCCACGTCCACGTCGGAGGTCACTGTCTTCTCCTCTCCCGTCTTTTTTAAACGTGGGCTCAAGTCACGTAGGATCAATTGCCTGGGTTGGGGCGCCTCGTCCTAGCCCATCGCCACAGGCCAGATTTCCATGGTGTCGGGACCCATGTAAGAGGGTCTGCCCCGAGCCCTTGCTCACGTGACAAACCACTAACTTTCTTCTGTGGTATCAGCGGGTTACAGGTAAATTTAAAGCTTATGTCTGTAAGCACCGAGCCCCTGACACCACAAGTACATTTCATTAAATGCGGAAAATGGAAACCAAGGCAGCCGGTGTGCAAAAGGGGAATCCTTTATTCTGATCCTTACTCTTCCAGAAGGACTTCACCTTTCAGCCTGGGCGCTGACCTATCTCCCAGTGTCCCCGAACCACAACGTCGGGGCCAAGTGACCCCCCCCCACCCCGGGCCCTGACAGCCTGCTCCTAGGCTGGGCCCCTAGCTGACACACAGCCCATCATCTTCATGACCTAGGGCCCAACTAGAAAACGTAACTGAGACAATTCAGTTAATTTCCTGGGAATCCGGACGTGAGAAACTGAGCCAGTTTCTGGACAAACGTCAAGAAGGATGTGCTGTATTTGGGAACCAGGGCTAGGAAAGCCACGAGCTGCGTGCTCTCCGTGGCAGGAGAGGGAACAAGCTAAGCATCAGCCAGGGTGATGCCCAGTCCTGGTGGGAGAGGCAAGCGGCAGGCAGAGGGAAAGCAAGGCCCTCCTGCCCCTGTGGGGGCATAGCTGCCGCCTGGACCCCCGGTTGCATCCCCACCCCGGTGCCCTGTGGCCTGGCTGCGGGGAGCTCTCAGTCTTGTGACCTGCCACTCTACAGACCCTCCCCCACCTCCCACCTTAGCACCCACTACCCTGGGGGCACTTCTGTTCCAACCGGGCCCAGGGCCCAGGACCATAAAAGTAGGTCATGAAGTCCCCTGGGGATGGGGGAGGGGCAGGGGACTTGCTGTCCGGGCTTTGAAGCCTCTTTCTGTGTTTCTTTCTTGGCCGATCACAGACTGAGTCATCGGAAGCCCAAGAAAGTTCATGTTTTCCCCATTTCCCGAAGCTAACAGGAAACAGACCATTACCAAATTGACAAAGGAAGGTGGGATTTCTTTGGCTTACAAGCCAGAATTTATTTCCTCTGAGGGCGAGGAGGGGGACCTCCGAAATCGAAAATAAACCTCATTTCTAATAAAGGAGCAGTTCCTCATAGAGAACTGCTCAAGAGGAAC